AAAACATTTTATTAAGAAGAATTAAAATATTAATAACCTTGGGCTAAAAAAAAATAACCAAACATTAAATTACAATAAAAATTTTGTTTTAAATATTAATTGCATTGTGCACCTACGGAAAATTTGTTATTAAAAAATACCAAAAAAAAAAATTAAATTATATAAAATATAATATATATAAAAATAAATATATAAATTGAAATCATAAAAATAAATATAAATATATAAATTAAAATTATAAATTAAATGTAAAACATTATTTTTCGTAAGGAAATTACGCATAGCAGCCGCTGTCGACACTTCAGCGATTGCTTTAATACTGATGAGTGAACAAATTTTGCATTGTTTGCTGGAGGCGTGCTTAAAAAATTGTTGGTAAATTTAATGTGTAATGGAGAGAGAAGACTTCGTGTGTTTGTCAACGCGCGTTGATGTCTAAAGGCCACTTAAGACCCAAGACTAATAACTTCTACTCTGTTTTTATATAAAAGCTGGTACCCTACAATAATATACATATTATAAATCTTAAAGATAAGCAGTAAATCAAATATTCAGAATGATATAACTTAATGTCTATAAGGTAAGATTGAAGTCTTAATTTTTTTGGCAGGTCATGAATGCACCTAATATATAAAGGAATTTTTATTTTTTGTGAATTGCACGAAATATGATGCAAAATATTTTCGCACTTATTTTAAACAAATCTATATAATGGAAATGGTAAAATTTTTTTAAAATTGTTATTAAGGCTCAGAAGGACCAGTTGATTTTAAGAAATATCTAAAACCAACTGTAATAATGTTTTTAATTTAATTTATTAAAATATGAATCTGATAATTAAAATAAGTTTTTTGATAATTATGATAATGATAATTAATGATAATTAAAGTGTTTTGCTTATTTTGTGTTCAAATAATTAAATACCCGTACATACAAAAATTATTTAATATTATATTTATATTTGTTTAATGTAAAATAAATAATATCAACATATACAAAAACTTATATGTAAAATAAAAAAAAATTGTAATAAAATATATATCTGAATTTATTGTATTATAAAATTAAGTTAACTATTATTGCACAAATATAATTTGAATGAAACAAAAATAAAATTATATAATTGTTAATTGTTAGACTATAATATAAATAAATTGTAATGCTAGTTGTACAATGTAAACATTGTTTATATATATATATAAAGAAATAAATAAAATAAAATGATTTAAAAATGAATAAATACTTTATAAACAAATTTTGTATTAATTATTTTTATTGTTAAATGAATGAATTAGTAGGCGTGTTTTGAATTTAATATCTAATAACCTCTTCCTCATCACATATACCAGTGCTAAAGCAGTCTAGACAAACATAATCATACATTTGATAGTTAACGTTTATGATCCTTGTCAGTAGATTCCAAAGAGATTGGCTCTTCATCCCCAAACTACTTAACATTTAAGTGCCACTTATTGCTTCAGTAGAAATTTCACCATTTTAAATGCACAAAAATATAGGGAACTCCCATATAAATTGATGTAGAAGTCCGAATATAAAAACATCGCCGTTCTACCATACAAACAGCGAAATTAATTAATAAAACTAAAGAACGTATCTGAGATCATTTTCCCTTACTAAAGTGTGTGACAACACTCGTTGCAAGCTTCTACTGTGTGATAACATCCAAGGAACGATTTTGTTAATATTTAAGGAAAGAATTTTATGTAACCTAATAATTAGTTTGGAGCAAACAGTTGAATGAACTACTTTATAATCTTGGGAAATAATCGTAAATTCAATAAATTTTAAATTAACTTAAATATTTGAATTTTTTATAAATTCTTTAGATTTAAAAAAACAGATTTTTAGATTTCAGTGATTTAAATTTTCTCAATTTTACTATTAATATCAATGACTGATTGAAGTGGTGAACGAAAGTTAACGATTTCATTGAACTCCAATTGTCCATAACATCAGCTGATATTTTAATTTAATTAAAAACAAGAAACGAATATGTAGCAACGAAATGAAGCTCATGTACATACGTAAGGGAATATTAAATTGTCATAAACGATACATTTCTGCGGAATCTATTGTTTTTTAACTCTTTCAATTTATGTGGTGGATTGATGGACGTGAACTTTGTGACAATTGTAAAACATGTGTTTAAAGCTATAAGTACACTGAGTGAATGATGATTAAATAAAGTTTCCTGGAATACAAGAAGATACCAAAGGACTGTTCTAGACTTTTCAGTTCTAGGCTGACAGTCATGTCAGTCACCGGAATATTTGAATTACCTACTAAAGAAATATATGCATATTCATTTGTGTTTACTTTCATAGTCGACTAAAAGTGCGAAATGTTTCACAATAGAAAATGATTTTTTACTGGATGTCCAACTTGTAAGTCATGTACACATTTAACTATTTAAAATATCACTTCTTGGTGTCTGGGATATGGTCATGAATGAACTATGTATGTTTCATAATTTTAGAATATGTTCGAAACTTTGAAAACTGAGAATACGTGTTAAGTTTAAGATTGCAGATGGTGGCTATTATTTAGTCATTTTCAGAGTCGGTGGAGTTTTAATATAGCTCTTATTAAAATTAGCTATTTCCCTAGATCTTTATGCTCCATGTCAGTAGATTCCCTAAGTCTTTAAAATCTATTTTTATAGAAACACCTGCTAATAAAAAAAATAGTTACACAATATTAAATAAATACTTCAAATGTGTTATAATTATTTCTGTCATTAAGTAAATTGTTCTCTAGCAACTGAATCTCTAATTCAAATTTTTTTCTCTCTGGTCCTTTAAATATTCTATTCCCAAAAGTACTGCTTGTAAACTAATTACTTATGTATTTTTTAAATAAAATTTGGCAGTTAATGGCACTGGTACCACGAGAGGCTTTAATGCCGGTATTAATAAAATATTAATTTATTTTATTCCAATCTGGTTTTGTTTTTATAGAATACCTTATCCATTTCATTTTATTACAATGTCTCCATATTATTCATATTATATAATAATGAAACTTTCATTCCTTTCCTTTTCTGCTTTTTAATGAATTTGTAAATGGTACACATTCGATGCACATTCAAAATTCAAAATCAGCTGTCTAAAATATTTGGTGTGTTCAGTAAAAGTGTGAAAACGAATTTAGTTTAAAAACAGTAAATGGAGAGTTCAATCAGCGACTGTAAAACTGCGCAAAAATCAGTTGTTTGTATTATCTAAATAATATATATTAAATGCATAAATTTTATTGATTTCGCTTACTTAAGAACACATAAATTTTTTCCCTTCATTTCATACCATTTGCTTCAAATCACTGGTTTTGGCACAAGGAGTATGTTTAGTTACTACAAACGCGTCGAAATTTTAATAATTTTATGCAAATTTTATATGTAGCTTTCCCCAATAATCTTATATGACATTTATACTGCCCACAAATGACTCATTTCAAATCAGTAATTTGAAAGTGTTTACATTCGTTGTTCTTCGTTTGTAATATTGGATGAAGGTAAAATAGAAATTTAAACTGTACAATACGTATAAATTGAAAACCTATTTTTAGTTTCGATTAAGTACTTTTTCGTAAGTAGAAGTTCCAAAAAATGGTGCATATTTTTTAAGGCAATAGAACCACCAAATATTTTTTTATCATGTTTTGTAAATGTATTAGAAGCAGCTTTCTCAAATTGTCAAAATGTCATAAAAAGCCTTTATTTAGGGTATGTTTAATGTATTCATTTGCATTTGGAACGTATGTGGAATTTATTTGAAACTCGTTAGAACTCATATATACAAAATTAGCAAATGGAATTCATTTGCGTTCATGAGATTTTGTATGCTGAAGTAAGTTACATACTTCTCATTTGTGAATTTTGGCCCAAATTTGATTTGTTATCCATACATAAAGAGTTAAATTCCTTATATGGCGTTTACACTGAAAATAACTCATTTTGAATGAGCGATTTGAAAGTGTTTACTTTCGTTGTAATTCATTTGTTCTCATTTTGAACAGCTGATTTTTCAACTTGCATGTTGATTTGATTTTGGCCTGTGCCAAAAAAATGTTGCATGAAGGTTAAATATGCCTTCAAACCTTACAATATAAACTTAAAACATATTTTTAACTTCGATTAATTATTTTTGAGAAGTAAAAGTTCTAAAAAGAAGTGCATCGTTTTCAAGAAAATGCAACCACCAAACATTCTTTTACACTTTTTTGTAAATATGTCAAAAACAGCTTCTTCAAACTGTCAAAATGCCATGAAGAGCTTTCATTTAGGATATGGTCAATGCATTCCTTTGCATTTGGAACATATGTGGAATGCATTCGAACGTCTTTCATACCATTCGCTACTCATTTTCGATTTTTGACCAAAATGATCCATTTTCGGCCAATGTTAACGCCATATTAACTTAAAGAGTTAAAAAGCTTAAAAAAACTTCAATTTTTAATTGAAAACCGGTCAGCAATATGTTTTGAAATCGTTTGTTATATATGTTAAAAAGTAAAAAATGCTAGAAATGGAAGCTGAGTTAATTATGAAAACTAATGGCAACACTCTATAAGGTCCGAATTAAGATATTTGTTATAGAAAGGGTTAATTAAAATATTATATGGATATCACAAAATCCTCATAATACAAAAATAAAAAAGTTACTAGTATAATTACGGATATTATTCTTAGAAATTCTGGCGATTTGCTTTTATTTGTTGAAATAGAAATAGTTAATTTAGATTAGCATTTTGGGAAAGTGTTTAATATAAATTGTGAATTAATAAATACCATTTTTATGCAATCATAAATTAATTCGGAAATAAATTTTCGAACTACTTTTTACTTTTTAAATTTTGCATGTAAAATTCTTCTTTGTTTCACATATCTAAACTTTCAGAAATTTTATATCTTTTTAATTGTTTTCGTTCTTGAAAATGAGGCAAAATTAAGTTTATTCGATATATTTCGTGTATTAATCAATAAGACCTAAATGGATAGCTGTTGGCAATCCTAAATGAAGATTTTTTGACAGCCGGTTTATTTGCTTCAAAGAAGATATTCTCTGATTTGCTTGTTGCGCCTTTGCAATAAGAGAGTATCAGTAAATTGCAGTGCGTATGCTGGTTCTTAAGTCATTTTGTAAACATTCTTGTTTATTTATAAATTTTAATAATAATAATTATAATAAACTATTGATGTTGTGAAACTAAAAGTTTTGGTGTTATGTTCTTTAATTTTCATTAAAATAAATTAAACGAAAATTGTCTTCACGCAATGTTAGAAACAAATATAAAAAATGATTTGACAGTTGGTCTAACGGGACTAACGGGACTCTTGTCGATTAGGACACAAAGCCTAATAGTGTCTCACGAAACTGCGCTACTTCAAGTTGGGAAATTGGAAAACAGAATTGAGAACGTGTTTTTGTATGGTAAACTAAATCAGTTATCATTTTTGTGTTCTTTTATATATAAAAAAATGTTTTTACTTTATAGATTTTTAAAATAATTGGCATTAGTGTTTCACATTAAAAATATATTTATTATTGCCAATAAATAATGACTCCGTTGGACCTCAAATGCATAAACATAAAACACGCAGTAAAAATGGGGACAATAATCAAAATAGTTTGTCTCAAGTCAAAGACATTGATATTTCAATGATGGAATGCGATTTTGAATTTTATAAATGTTTCCTTCCAATTGTTGCAGTCGTCACCGTTTCAGCACTGGAGAATAAAAATGTGAGTAAATGTGAATTGCATATGTTATTCTTATAAGTAAACATTGGATGTTTCTATGCACAAGGTATGTCTTTGATTAACTGAGATGTCCTTGAAATGTGAAGCACTTCCAATTTGTTTAGTATCAGTTTTTATAATTTATTTTCGTATATTTTTATAATAGTTAATTTTTAGATCATATTAAAGAGTGCACATCAGCTAGCGTGTACGTGCGTTTTTTTTTTACCGCAAGTATGCAAGTTGACAATGCACACCTCTGTGCCATTTAATTTTGCTTTTTTCCTTCTAAGTAGCTACAAAAATCGGTTTTCAACTATAATTTGATTAGATACAAAGATACAAACATAAAACATTATGAAGTTAAAATAGGAATCCTTCTTTATTAAGAGTATTTTATTAAACAAATGATTATTATTTAAAGACATCAATGGATATAAACACCTTTCGTATATCGCCATTTGTTATAGTGGACCTCCACTGGATAAATAATTCAGATTTTATATTGAATGCAAATATGATGTGAGGTAGGTTTACGGTTTTCTCATGAAGAAACTTAATGTAAACATTCTGTCCTGATGAAACGGCGATTTTTAGTTTAGTTTAAGTTTAAGTTTAAGAAAATTCAAATTTCATATAATAATTTCATTACTTTTCTAATGTTTTTCAGTTGATTACGAAGAAAATAAATTAAAAATTGCTCCTCTGCAGTTACAATAGCCCAGGAATTCCCCAAAAACACAAATAAAGTATTATTGGAAAGAGTATGCCAATTTTCGATGTCAGGACATTTCACATGTCAAAACCACTGAATAATGAAAGATTGAAGATTTGTTAATATAAAATGATTCCTAATGAAAATTGACGATTGAAATTGTGATAATTAAATTACTGCAAACGTAATCAGATTATGGTTATAATTTAAATTTTATGATAAAGATGTCGGTTGTTTATAACTCCATTGTAATTATCAGTAACAAGTTGATGTGTAGCATATGCTATTAACTTGTATTTTATACTTATTAAAAATGATGTAACTCTGCAGACAAGCTGCTCTATATTGTTATCATATGCTGATGCTTTAAAGCAATGTGTAACTTTGATATACATTATGAAACCATACTATGATCAAAAAACAAATACTGAATTTAGTACTACGAATTTGTAAGTATAAATTAAATATTTTTAAAATTTTTTGTAATAATTTAAATTAGAAATATTAATATATTTCTTTCATCAACAGATTTCTCCATAAGTCTCATCTGCCGTGATATTTAAACATCCCAGTCTTAAAGAATGTTTATATGTATTCCTGTTTAAAAAATATTGTTATCTACTCACCAAGCAAGAGAAAACACACATTAGTTTATTGGAATAATTATTAAATTCAGCATAAGAAAATGATTGAATGCAACAACAACATGATCTTCAAAAAACAAAAACTTAAGCAAGTCATCAAAGCTAAGTGCAAGTTTTATTTTACTTTTATTTATTTATTTTTTATATAATATATTAAATAGGTTGAAATGTACAAATTTTTAAATGCATATAAACTATTTTAAAATATATAAAATCAAAGAAACTTAATAGAATAAAAACTTTTAGTTTTGAATTAAGATTGTTTAAAGAAATTGGATTAGTCTAAAGTCTAAAGTTTTTAGAAACTGTTACATTTATTTTTAATGATAATATTTAATTACATTAAATTAAGTTTCTTTGATTTGTGTATTACAAAATCTTTTCCAAATTAAAAGAAAAAATTAAAATTGTATAAATATACCGGAACGAAACACAAAATAAGCAAAGAAAAAAAAATAATCTTAGTTTGAAAAGGAATACTTTACAAAAAAAAGATTATGAAGTAGTCCTTCATTTATAATATTTTTAATTTATAAATTAAATTATTTATTATATATTTAACGTAATTGCAGATTCCAATTTTTTGGTTGATTAGAAAATTATATATAGGTATATTTGGTTTAATTGGTATATCATCTTAATATATATGGGATATAATAATTGAATTTGGTATGAATATACATTTTTATATCCTAGTTCTTTTTTGCTTTGAGAACATTTTGTCATTAAAATTATACCGTTTGATAGTATATTCAAATATAATATTGATCGTATATATTTATCATATTCAAAAAATTGTTAACAAAGTACATTCACAACAAATTTAATTTAATAATATGTTGACTGTGATGGTAGTTTAAGAGGATTCCGGTCAAGGAAGCTAATTTAATTTAATTCTTTTGCAAACAAGCATTCTTCTATTTATAAACTTTGATTAAATTATTTCTTCGAAATTTTACGGCAATTAAGAGTATTTTCTATCGTGCACTTTGAAAATTTTGTGTTTTTAGTTTGTAAATTGAGAACAGAGTTTTTGATCTTGCTTTATGCACACATTTAAGAGACTGTTTTATATTTAAGCACATGGATCGCTTATTTATGAATTTTCAACTTTTGATATCATAAAATATTAATGTCATTATGTGAACTAATTCAGACAGAGCAAGTTCATATAACCAAAATGTTCACTAAATTGAAATTTTTATTTCAATTTTATTTTTTTTTTAGTTTTGTGTCTAATTTTATTAATAAAAAATACTTTATATGAATATAATCTTTAATATGTAACTATAAATTACAAAAGTGATAACATTAAAAATAGAAAGTAGTTAAATTTTTAAACATAACACATCAGTCAATAAGACGAGTGATTTACTAAGAACAATTAATTTTTTCCGCCAAAAATCGATTTTACTCATCAATATAATCTCCTTCAATACAATCATTCCAACGCTTCTCTAACTTCTCGATGCCGTGCTTGTAGAAGGATTTCTCTTTTACCTTAAAACAGACTTCAGTTTCAGCAATTACTTCTTCATTTGAGATCAATTTCTTACCGGCGAGCATTTTTTTGAGATCAGCGAATAGCCAATAGTCGCGGGGGACCAGATTTGGACTATACGGTAAATGAAGAAGCAATTCGAAGTGTAATTCGTGCAATTTTGCCTCCGTTTTGATTGATTTGTGACATAGTGCATTGTCTTGGTGAAACAAATTTTTTTTTCTTCGCCATATGCGCCATACGGTCGTTTGTTCACAATTTCTGCTTTCAACTGATCCAGTAATGCCGTGTAGTAGTTACTATTAATGGTTTTTCCCATAATCAATAAAGATTCTGCCATGTGCCATCTGATACCATCTGATTTATTAGGTGTAAACATGGCTAAACACTGCTCTGAATCATCAACTCATTGTTGTTTTTGATCGACTGTGAGTAAACGCGGCACCCATTTTGAAAAGAGCTTTCTCATGGTCAAATGTTCATGCATAATTGTAAACACACTGTCTTTTGATATCTTTACGGTACCAGCTATCTTATGCGATTTCAATATACGATCAGATATAACCAATTTCTGGACTTTTTTGATGTTTTCTGGAGTAACCACCTCAATTGGACGACCAGAACGTTCACCATCATCGGTGTCTATACGACACCACGTTTAAATCCAGCAAACCAATAACAAATTATTTTTTTCGATGGAACAGAGTCCGGATAACAGTTTTGAAGCCATTGTTGAGCTTGTAAACTATTTTTTTTCATCAAGAAGCAATGATAAATTAATACACGAAATTGTTTTGAATCCATTGTTTTGAAAATAACAAAACGGCTGTCACAAGTTGTGACAATTCTTCACTACTATTAAATCTTTGGTCTCAAGATTGTCTTCTTCCCAAGCAATTACCTTATTGATTTCGTTGTTCAGTAGCATTTTTTTCTTCATCATTATTATCAATTTTATCATTCTCAATCATTCTAGATTAACACACTCTACATCATCTAATCTCATAATTTTCTCAGCCGTATATGTGCAGTCATTGCATATTTCAGCTAATAAAGTATTAACTTCTTCTATGGGTGATACTATATCAGCAAGGTACTGCAGTCGTGAGCAGGAGTTAAGAATTTGTTTTTGCCTTTCACTATTATACACTGGCATTTAGCTATGTTCAGCCGCAGTTTTCGCTTAGTGAAATATTTGAGGAGGTGCACTAGGTCTATTTTTAAAATACTGTTGGCATTTGAACACCTTGGTTTAGAAGCTAATAATAAGATATCGTCTGAATAAATAAGTATCTTAACATCACTATTTACCACACGAATGTCGGCCAGCATCACATTGTAGAGCAAAGGTCCTAGTAATGACCCCTGTGATACTCCCTCTCCAACTGATTTTAGAGCTGAACTTTCATCTAGGTATATGACAAAGAACTTCCTACTTTTAAGGTAGTCTAACACAACAGAGCACAGATGTCTATCAATACCAAATAGTTTGTACAACTTATAAACAATACCATCTATCCACGCAGTGTCGAATGCCTTTTCAAAGTCAAGTGATACTGCAATGGTAGCCTTTCTTTTGTTCAGGTTACTAGTGATCGTATCAGAAAGCAAGGATAGCGCGTGCATGGTGGAGAGTTGACGCCTAAAACCGAATTGGAAATCTTAAAGTACATCAGTTCCTCTAGTAGGAACCGTTCATATAACTTGCTGATGTTAGACAAAAGCGATATGGGCCTATAGCTGCTTATGATCGTGGGGTCCTTGCCCTTCTTCAATAATGGAACAACCTTGGCTACTTTCCAGGAGTCTGGAAAATAACCAAGGTTGTACAACTGATTAAAAAGAATAGAAAGACACAGCCACAGCTGCTTGTTAGTTTTTTTTAGTATAAAATTAGGAATGTTGTCAGGTCCATAGCTTTTTTGCTATTTAGCGATTTAATCATTAACCCTACATCTTCTGCAGAAATAAAGAGGAGTGATTTACTAACACGAGAGCTTCTAACTGTCCGCCCATCTGCCGTACTATCTCTATTAAACTGAGTTACTAGTACAGGGTTCCTAAGTAAATTGACCTCACCTGTGCACCAAATAGATAGTCTCCTAGCTCCTTATTTACATTATGTACCTTCTCAAAATAATCTGCTAAAGCATTAACCTTGTCTATACTATGTGTGAGTATATTTCCATTACATAGTTTGAGTGGAGGAATATCTTTAAATTTTCCTATGCCACCCAACCCTTTAAGGTTTTGAAAAGTTCTGTTATTCATTTTTAAATTTTTGAAGGTGTTATTCCAGCGACTTTCCTCAATCCACTTGATGTGATTGGTAATGATGACATCTATATTGGCTACCATGGCTTTCAAAGTGTTCTTTCTAGCCAGATCCACACAACTCCACATAGCTCTCCTTAGCCTCCTTTTTTCTTGGATAAACTATAAAACGTACTGCGGCAGATTTAATAATCCTCTGCTTCTGACCACCTGAGACGGGACCGCTTTTCTGATTGCATTGGAAATTACTACATTAATACCTTAATACCTGTTTACTGGAAGTATAAAGGGTATAATATGTCTATCAATCTCATTATTCAACACTTTGCAATTGATTTTATCATAATTATGCATAATTTTAGGAGCGGACAAAACTAGGTCCGAGGTTTCAATTACTAATTCAACAGCTTGGTTGCTCAGGCAACATGTCAAATACTTCTGTCCTCTAAGAGCGGCGCAGCATACACAAGCAGCTCAAAGTGCTTTGTCTCATAATTGCAAGATCAGCAATTAATGCTGTTGCGAATATGGTGTGACTTAAGAATAAGTGAATAATACTTTTCTCAAGTAGACCACACATGAAATGAGTAACGGATGTTATTGTTTATATTATTATGTATGCTACACAATGCTAAAAAACTGATCAGCTCCCCACTGGCTAATTTTTCTCCTTTATTGGGTTTATCAGACCGAATAATTTTGTACCCTCTGAAACTGAGCCTATGCTGGTAAGTGAGTTTAATCTCAGCCACCAAAGCGATGTCCTGGGCTATGTTTTTGCAATAGTAAGTTAAAAAGGTGTCTCTTTCTATGGGAAACAATAGAATTTATATTGATGAATAATGTTTTCAATAACTTAGTCATGGATTCGTAAGCTAAGGAATAAATTAAACAGAACCTGAGACTTTTGTTGGTCGTTTTCTAACTTGTTGAAGGTGCTGGCGAAGTCACTGACTTTTTTTAGACACTGGCTAAAGTTACTACCAAATATTCGATTACATTCTACATCAATGCCTATAAAGGAAGATGCTTGGCTATTACGAGCAGAATCTGCCAACTTGATGTGAGACGACCTATTACTATTTAGAGCAGTAGAATAAAAAACTCCATTGGTGACCGCTGTTGGAGCATGACTAGTCACCGCAGTGGGACTAATGGGTTTAGAGGGAGGTAATGCCTTCTTTCGTTCGTACCTATTGATAATTTCCAGTCTTTTTGGACAGGTCTTAGCACTAGCTGCGTGCCCTATCTGGTTGCAATTGATGCATTTGAGTGAAACCCCTATCTGCTTAGTGAACTCCCCAGATACTGGGTCCTTCGTTACTACAATCT